TCCATTCAGCAAAAGGGTTTCATAACCACTTTTGAGTCTTACATCAGGCGGAGCTGGCCAATAGGATCAAGATCGGGAACCGAATGCAGAGAATGCCCAGAAGATAGTTTAACCTCATCTCAGAGGTCCTTGGATGGAATTGGATCTGGAACACCTGGGGAAACAAGGGTGGAAGTTTGTCCAACAAGATAGAGTTTTGACTATTTTGGTGGCATCAAGCCCTGGAGGTGCACATTAGAGAGAACTTACTTTGACTCCATTATGCCTCCGCGGAATCAGTTTTCTTGCCTTCTTCCTTTCAGGAATTTGGCTCTTGGGAAGATGAACATTGGCCAGGGAGTAAGCAGAAAACCTGGAGCCATCAGATTGATAATCTTCTTCAGGACAGAGTTTGCCTCCTTGGAAAACTTGGCCAAACACTTTGGAGAGGGTGGATCAGAGGACAAGACTTTGGGTTGAGAATACTCAATGTTGGGTGATTTGCGGATCAATTGACAATGATAAAATTCAGAAACCGGCGGAGCTGTGCAGGGAAGTGGCTTTGTTGTTGTATACCATGGCTGAAGAGCGCCACAGCTCAACTGATCCTAAACGGTGCAGGAAATGGAGGGGTGGAATGACTTGAAGTTTGAAATGCCATCACAACACTGCGGATAGGTCAAAAAGGGTCAAAAGGGATCCAGGCACTGCTTGAAAGGAAATAGAAGGAAATAATTGTGCCCATTCTGATCAACAAGGTGGCTCTCTTTGTCCCTCTTGAGTTCATAACAATGGGCCGTCCCATGGCCTTTACAATGACAATAGTAACAGATCAGTGGTCAACAAACTGTGGCGGCTGAGGCAGAGGCAGAATAAATATTTTCCAGGATCTCTGTGGAAAGATTATTGTTGATCAGGGAAGCGACTGGATTAAGTGCAAGGATTGGTCTAGCGGCGGTGACTTCAGCAGGGCTTGGATCTTCAGTTGAGTGCTCAAACAACTTGGGATTTTCGTCCATGTCTTCTTGATCTGAATCAAGAACTGAGAGTGTAGAATCTTTGACCGGAGGAAGCGAAACAGAGAGCACTGTGGATGACTTGAGGTTTTCACGCTGCCTTTGGGAGGGATTGGATTTGTCAATTCTAGAAGCCAATGGATATTCAATGACAGAGGCAGCCGTAAAATCAAAACTGGCCTTTGTGGGATTCCAAGGAGGTTCTCTTGTCTTAATTGATTCATTAGGGTCCTGTCCTTTATCAAAAAGCTCCGGCCCAACATCCAGATCTACAAAATCCAAATCAGATTCCAACACCTCCTCAACTAGTGTCAGCCTGCTACTATTTAGAGACAACCTGACCATAGCATAATAAATATTTAGAGACATTATTACATATACTACCCCTATAGCATATGTAATTAATGTCTATTTTATATGTACATAATATAGAGACATTATTACATATGTACATATAAAAATATTAATATTTAGATAAGTGGAATCACTATAAAAGAGACATTATTACTCATTACATTAAGTTTTACTAGTCATTGAATAAAACATTAAAATAAACCAAAAACATTTATAAATAAACATTTTTTACATGAATTCACAAATAACTTCTGAACCTTAAGCAAAAGTTAGAATATTATTTCAGATTCTTAATTCTCATGCAAAATAACCTAGGGTACCTCACCAGAAGCACCCCTGAATTATTACTCCTTCATGTACTTCTGTGTACTCTGAGTGACACTTGCTCATTTTGCAAAAAACCCTCCCAGTTACATCATACTACATGTTGTGACATGTCTACACATGTAATTAAGGTTCATGCAGTTCGGGAAAAATCTACAAATAAGGTTGACATCATTGAAACCTTAACTACATTGTCACAACAACTGTAACTGGCTGGTCAAAAGCCATTTGTGGCCCTTTTTGGCCCTTTTTGGCTAACTACGCCTGGTTAAGACCAGCCCACTGGTCATTAAAGGGTCCCAGTGACCAAACCATTGCTGCAGGTTTGTAACAGCACCCCTTAGTGTGTGTTACAAGCCTCACTTCAGCCCTCTGCCACCTGTAACCAAGGACTACAGGTGTCTAGGCTGTGCTACAGGTCACCAATGCCTAGTAGGAGGCTTGCACCAGCCAAACAGAGTTCTGAGTTCGCCTTCAAGGGCCCAGAATGAGTATATAAGGAGCCCTTCTTGCCCCCAAACTCTGAATCCCCATCTTCATCATCACTTACCAGCAATAACCACCTCCAACAACCAGTTTTCACCTGTTTTTGGCCCAGTTCCTGCTGTTTTTCATCCTGAATTTCAACCAACCAACCATCAACTGTTCCCCAGCACTCTCTCACCACCTGTTACCCAGATTTCTGAGCGCTTCCAGACCAGTTTCCACCCACCTGAAGTCCCCCTTGGCTTGGAAATAATACCAGTAAGTAATATTTCCTTGATACTTCAGTTGTAGGCATTTGTCTGGGCATACTCCTTTTGCACAAAGGACCAGATCATCAGGTACATCAAAAATACCCCTGTTTTAACAGGTCCTGATTCATTGGAGGGCACCATAAACACACCTGTAACTCAGGCCCCTCCCTTTATAAAAACTTAACAGTTTTTATTATTTCTTTTCTTAATATCAAAACCTCCCCATTCCAAGTGTTGCCCACACTTGTACACCCTTTTTCTTAGCTTTGCACCTGGTGTAGCTAGAAGAGTCAAGCTCTTGGCATCACCCAGGCTGACAACTAGTAGATCATTATGAGAACCCAATGGGAGGCCGCTGTGGTACTCAAAAATGTGAAAATTCAAAGTTTTTTCCTTTCCTTTTCTTATATATATATTTTCTTCATATTATCATCCACACTCTCTCAGAAATCACACCATACGGCTCAAGAACTGGACTCTAAGGACAAATGCACCCTTGGTCACCACGGAGGCGTCACTGGAACACACCTGGATCAACTCTTACCCAACAATGGACAACACATCACAAGGATTTCACCCATCAAGTACATTTCAACAAGCACAATTACAACACTCAACCTGCACAGACACCCTCAGTACTGTACAGCCTCACATTTACATACACACTCATTTACATACACACTCATTTACATACATCTACACTCCTTACATTTCACTTCTACATATTACATCATACCTGCAGCCTAAAATAGTGTATTTTCCTTGCATGACAGCCGCAGCTTACATCACCACACTCACTTGTAAACACCACACAACCTGACCAATCACAATCACTCATTCAGCTGTTTGGATCACCACTTCAACTCTTGTACATGGCTAACCGATCACATTCACTCATTCAACTTATGTATGTAGCTAAAATACCTCATGTAATAGCCCAGGCCAGCCAAAATCACTCATTACTGGCTGCCCTGGAGCTAAATTCCCTCACTATTTTCTATATAAGGAGGCTCTCCTCCCAGCTGTTGTCTCCTCAGTTTATTATTCATCAGTCAAAGTTTAGTACCACTCAATCAAAGATACACCACCTTTACAGAACCTTACCAATCACCAATAAACAACTAAACTCATTTCTCAGCATCACACAAACTCATTCCTGAAATTACCCTATCACTTGATTAAAACTTGCCAAGCTGAGCTTGGTGGGTCTTGTTATCTGATAGTATAGAATGGCAGAGCCTGCACCTCCACCATCCCCTTCTCCATTCAGCAAAAAGGGTCTTACATCCACTTTTTGAGTCTTACACCGCGCTCAAGATTCCGGGGATTTTTATCTTCCAGCAATCGATCAGGAGGCTCCGGATCATGCAAAGTAAACTTGGCGGTGTTGACATTTCCCCAGTAAGCTATCATAGAAGCCTTCAACTTAGGCCAGTCCGGCGTAGAGATGGTCGATTGGCATCCGGATATCCGCGCGGATGCGGATGTCCGGCTGCTTTTTCCGGCCATCTGAGCATCCGCACCCGCTGGCGGGTATCCTCGGATACCCGCCCTCTAAAGGGCCGGCTGGAAGGGCTTCCTTCCAGCTGGCGAGGTACAAGTACCTCGATGGCTGGAAGGAAGCCCTTCCAGCCGGCCCTTTAGAGGGCGGGTATCCGAGGATACCCGCCAGCGGGTGCGGATGCTCAGATGGCCGGAAAAAGCAGCCGGACATCCGCACCCGTTGGCGGGTATCCGTTGGCACTGGCGGGTATCCGCGACGGATACCCTTTGGCCATCTCTAGTCCGGCGGCTCGTATCCTTCCAAAGTCTCAATGACATCCAACAGCTTGTCCTTCACAATGAAAAATCCTAGCTGTTGAGCCATGTCCTTCTCCAACTCTCCATCCAAAAGTGCAGCTAGTTGGTATTGAGAAAGAAAACACTTGATGTTGCTCCCATTAAACGCTAGATGCTCATTCTGAGGCTTGATCTTGACCATGGCGTTGCTAGAAGCTCCTCCTTTGTTGTTGGCCATTCTGTCTTAATTGATTGAACTTTTTGGTCCTAAAGCCTCCACAATATACGTCATGTGATGTGTAGAAAAGACTGACCCAAAGAAGAGGAGAGCCTGAGAGAGAATTTGAGGGGTTTTACTCAAACAGAAATAACTTCTGAGCCGCTGGTCCGATTCTGACTTTCTTGATTTCAAACTAAAGCCCTAACTGACAGCTAAAACTTTGTCTGCAGACCTGATTGACAAAAACAAACAAGTAACAAGGAAGAAGGCTCCGAAAATGAGGAAAGCAAAAGATTGAGTCTGAACTTTGAGAGCTGATAACTTCTGAACTGCCGGTCCAATTTCAACAATCTTGATTGCAGCCAGAAGCCCTGATTGGAATCTAAAATTTTGTTGTCAGAGTTGATATACAAAAGCAAATGCATAACGCGGTAAAAGGATCCGGAAGCAAAGTAAGAGAAAATGCAAGTGCTGACTTTGACAGTCTGTAACTTTTGACTGAGTAGATGCATTTGCGAAATTTCTGGATAGAAAGAACGCTACAGATGTGGGCTACAAGTTTGTTTGTTGGCGGAGTTTTTGTGTGAATGTGCCTAGAATGCAAGGAGTAAGGGTTTGAAGGTAATGTATGCAAAAGAATTGAGGTTAAATTTTCATTGATGATAACTTTTGAACCAGTGAATTGATTTTGCTGATTTTTGGATAAAATGAAAGCTGCAAATCACAACTTTGTCTGAAAGGTCCTTCCACTAGAGCAAACGGTTTGCGAGCTATAAGCAATTGAAGGTATCAATAGAAAGTGAGCCTAAAGAAAAGTCCTGAAAACAGAGCCAGAGATCCTGAAACAAGGCTAGAGGTCCTGAAACAAGGCTAGAAATCCTGAAACAAAAGCCAGACACTAGAAAATCCTCAATTTTAGAGCAGCTGTTGCCTGAAAGAAGACCAAGTAAGACAAGAATGTAAATCTTGAGTTCGCTGGTTTGATCCCAGCTTGGGGGACCAAATGTGGAACTCCTATCGTTGTGGAACTACCCGGTGGGATCAGATAGAGTGCGGAAGGGTAAATGCGCCATGGATAAGGCTGCCCTCCGGTGAAAGGTGATAAGGTAGTAGACAAGGAGAGTTCAAATACTCTCTGAAGATGTGGCGGACTATTTCTGACTAAAAGGTGTGATAATATTTCTGAGGACTTTTTCTAAGGACTATGACTAAGGACTATGACTAAAGACTATAAGCTACTATTTGACCAGGCTGAGCACGTCAGTGAACTGATGAGGGAACAAATGATGGGGGGAAAACATGGCTCCTTATATACAAAATCTGGGGAGTGGCCAGCTTGTGGTTTGAGAAAAGGGAACAAGTGAAAAATATCAAACTGAAACACTACGGCCCAGAAGGTGGCTGCTAAGAATAAAGAGGACACAATGACATAGCCTGCTTACCCAAATGGGTACATAAGTCTGAAACACGCATAACCACATGCAGGCGCATGCATAGAGGTAATATACTAATCCCCAAGTGGGTGCATTAGTGTGAAACAGAGAGATAAGAGAAAGAGGAGTTCATATGCAGCCGCTCCAGAAAGAGAAAGAATGAAACAAGAGAAAACAAGGAGGGTTCCTCATACCGTGGCTCTGTCTGAGGGGTGACTTTCTTCCCCCCACGTATGGTCTGAGTGCCTTGAGGTTGCTGTCTGGTCTGAGGACCAAGGTGTTTGGGATCTTCTTGTCCTGATTGTGCGGCGCATTGAGGCTTTGAGGTTTTGATTTGGCTAGAGGCTGATGGAGCTTTCTTTCTTCTACAGATTTTTCTTTGATTTTTTATAAAATTTATTCAGATAATTTTTTTTGTGATTTTTTCATTTTACCGGGAGACTTGAAGTATGTAACAAAAATGAAGTGAAAAGAAGAAGTAAAAGAAAAAAATAGGGGCTATGGCGGATGCAAGGAGGGGCTAGTCTTAGGCTCTGTAAGAGGGGGCTTCCTTTTTCTGCTGGGCCTTCTTGCTTGGTAGAGTCCTCCTTGGTAGCAATGTGTACAGGGGGTCTAACTACTCTAACTAGTTTAACGTGGAGGCAAAGACCGTCGGCTGTAGAGCCGTCCAATTCCTCGACTGCGCTGACTGCAGACGTATAGGACAAAAATTCAATGGTAGCCGAGACAGATGTATCCTGGCCGTTGTAGTGTTGTTTTAGGGAGCAGCGCATAATTTTTCCAAACTGGCTGAAGGAGGTCATTACATCAGCCAGACTGGTTCCTTCAGCCAGGTTGGCTATATTGATCTTTGTTGTCTGTTGAGCAGCGGGCATGATTTGGTTGATGAGCTGCATTGAGTCCTGGGTACTGTAGCTGGAGAGCCTAAGTTGTTTGGGTTCTTAGTCTCACTGAAGAAGTGGGTCGGTTTTGAGTTTTTCTATCTGAAGGGGAGGTACGGTGAGCAGCCGAGTTCTGCAGGACAGTTGATCCTGATATCTTTAGAAGAGGCGTGGCCAGAGACGGTCATCAGTCAAAACAAGCCTCCTGAAAGCAGCTCAGTAGTGTCAGAGTATTCAAAAAAAAGGGGGGGCTATTGGCTGTACCCGGCGTGGTTTACAGGTCTCTAGGGTCAAGAGGATAGCAGTCCGAGGCAGATAGCTTCAAATAGCTCTTGTGCAATACAAAGCGGCCGAGGATGGCTACTTATCGAATCGGTCAACTGAAAACAGTTGTAGACGACCGTAGACAATTGTTTTGTTGGCTAGCCTCTTGATAAAAGCGGCCCGACCCGTTCGAGAAGACCAAATATGAGCAGAGGAGGGGGGTTGTGAACGGAAAGGGAACAATCGTTCTGTCCAGCTTAGAGTGTACACGTTCAGAGATGACTTCTTGTCAAGCGAGTCTGGCAAAAGACGGATGCCTTGTTCTTAACAGTTCCAAGGCTGTCGTCTTTTCATCCTATTTTTCCCTTCTGAGCCCCAACTTGGGGTTTCATCTTTCTTGTATCTTTTATCGGGCCCCAAATGGGACTTCTTCTTCCCCTTTTAAGAAACACCCTTTTTTGACAAATGTCACTACGTTCTGTTTCCGCAGACGATACCAACACAGCCCGCATGAACGATGGTGATTCCATTGCCTCCAGCGATGGTTCTAGCATTTCCGACGATGAAACAAACCTTGCTAACGACGCCGAGGCAAGTGATGCTAATGCCGAGGTCACTGTTCTGAACAACCCTGTTGCCTTTGCGTTGGCTCAATCTCCCCCCACTTATCAACTCGCGGCACTGCCCCTTGGTTCTCCTGAGAACCCAATCGAAATAGAAGATGAAGACGTGGCCAACCAGCTGAGGATTAATGAAGAAGTGAATGACTATGAGCAACTAAACAGCCCCAGGTTTGATCCAGTCAAAATTGTTCCTTTTCAAATGATCACATCATCCCTGACATGATTTCCCAGATGGGAAATCTTGTAAATTTCAGGGAAATCCTGTATGAAATTTAAAGATCTTTCCAGATTTTTTAGACTTTTCTAAATTTTTTAGATTTTTCCAGATTTTTTAGATTTTTTCAGATTTTTTACATTTTTCTAGATTTTTTTGAATTTTTCTAAATTTTTTAGACTTTTCAGATTTTTTTACTAAGAGACATCTATGAAGTTGAAAAAATCTGGAAAAATGAGATAAATCTTAAAAAATTGGAAAAATCTAAATAATCTGAACAAAATTCCAAAAATTGGAAAAATCTAAAAAAATTAGAAAAATCTAGAAACATACAAAAAATCTGAAAAAATCTAAAACATCTGGAAAAATTTAAAAAATTTAGAAAAATCTAAAAAATCTGGAAAAATCTTGAATTTTTTTTACAGGATTTCCCTAAAATTTACAAGATTTCCCATCTGGGAAATCATGTCAGGGATGATGTGGATGGTTGTTGACGAGGAGGACGTCCTTCGTGCTTGAGAGTGCATCAACCGATGGTTCAATAACCATATTAGACACAACTCCCAACGAGTTTTACGAGGTCGATCCTGCCGTGCACGCACCGCTGCCGGACCAGTAGAGCCATATTGGATGGTCAATGAGCTTATGGACTCTGTTTTAGAGGAGTTGGACGATATCTTGAATAACTCCTCCCGCGTTGAGTTGATCCACGTATAAAAAGTGAGCAGAGATGTACTGAAATGAATAGAGAATTTTAAATTTTTGGGCTAACCACCCTGACTTCTTTTTTCTTTTTTTTTTTTTGTAATTTTTGGCTATGAAGTAATGACAGACAACAGTTGGAGAGCATTATAATGTACAGTGTGTTTATTTAAGGAGGGATACTTTCAGCAACACTGATGAAATATTTTCACCTGCAGTGCTGTGTACCGTTGTTTTAATGGGGTCCCATCTAGCTCTTCGAGGATGTAAGAGCCGGATTTTTCTTGAGATATCACTTGGTAAGGGCCATTCCAGCAATTTTCAAAGAGTTTTCCCCATTGGCTTTCGAGGGATCTATTGTAGACTAGCACTAACTTACCAGGACTTATGGGTCCCCAGTCTGTCTTCTGTTTATTCCAGGATTCCACGGATTTTTCACGGGTCTCTTTCAGTTTCTTGTAAGCTTTTTGAAGAGTTTCTTCCCGTCTTTCCAGTTGATTAGCCCGTGATGACAAGAGGTCCGCCGTACTTGTTACTTCTTCCCAGTCTGTCCCTAAAAATGTTTCCATTTCTAAATCAATAGGTAGAACTTCCGGTTGTCCAAATACTAGTTCGTAAGGCGTGTAGCCCGTTGTACGCTGTAAGACTCAAAAGTGGTTATGAAAACCCTTTTGCTGAATGGAGAAGGGGATGATGGAGTTGCAAGCTCTGCCCTTCTATGCTATCAGAACAACAAGACCACCAAGCTTAGCTTGGCAGTTATATTTATCGTGATAGAGGATAGTTCAAGATGAAGCTTCCGAGTGATGTGTATAAGGGTCTGAAGTTGTTAATGAGTGATGATGATATTGATGGCGTTGTTGTTCAAAGCTTTAATACCAAGGCTTGGAGCTCTGGGAGCGCTATGCTTCAACCAGTAATGGTATGTGAGGCAGGTTATGGGCACTTGGCACTTGTTATGCTGATGAAACTGTTATGGTTGTATTTCAATATAATGTATTGTTATGGCTGTCACTTGTATATAATCTGTAAGGGTGGTTGAGATGATCTGGTCCACTGGTGGGATGATGGAGGGAACAACTGGCAGGCAGAGGCCTCCTTATATAGAAAAATGTGAGGGATTTTAGCCCCAGGGTACAGGCTTTTGAGGCATTTTAGCTGGTCTGAAGATCCTATGAGGGATTTTAGCTGGTCTAATACATGCAGGTGAGGGAATTTGGCTGGTGAGAGCACTGCCTTGAGGGAATTTAGCTAGCCTACGAGGTCCTACTACAAAGGAATGCATGTGCACCTACAAAGGAATTCAATATGCACTATGTGCCAATAAAGGAATTCAATACAACACAAAGGAATTCAATATTCAATATGCGTGCAGTATTCAAAATAAGCCACACTGAGAGTAAAGAATCCAAAAGACATCCCGTGACAGGTTGAAATCTGTGTAACTTCTAAACTATGAGAGATATGGGGTCAGTTGTAGTGGGTGACTAGGGTTAATTTTACCTGAGAAATCCATTTCTGATGTTATTTTTACCTTATCTATAATATATAAAGAGATAATAATAAATTTTTATATTTTCTGTGTAGAAACACAGTATTATTTACCACAACGCTTGGTCGAAACCCTGTCTGCAAATAAAACAAGTGGCAAAAAACTTTGCCATTTCTTCCCATTCTTTCCGCACATCTTGACTAGTGCGTCTTTAAGTGGCTGGTGACCGCGTTCTACCATACCGTTGGCTTCAGGATAGTAAGGGGTGGTTATCTTAACTGTGGATCCTCCACAGGCTATGGTCTCTTGGACTTCTTTTCTGAATTCAGGGCCTCCATCCATGACCACTACACATGGAGCGCCATAACGTAACATCCAATTTTCTTTGAACCAAGAAGCAACTTTTGCTGCCGTAAGTTTTTCAAGGCCTACTGCTTCTACCCACCCGGACAGATCATCATGGGCAACAAGAAGTTATTCCCAGCTACCGGCTTTAATATGAACTGCGTCCATGCTGACTCTTCCAAAGATAGTATTTTTACCAGTTGCGTGTTTGTGCTCGAGAGGTTTGACCAAACTACGCTTTTGACAGGCCTCGCAAGATTGAGCCCACGCTGTAAGACTCAAAAAGTGATTGTAAGACCCTTTTTGCTGAATGGAGAAGGGGATGATGTAGTGAAAGCTCTGCCCTTCTATACTATCAGATAACAAGACCCACCAAGCTTAGCTTCGCAAGTTTTAATCAAGTGATAGGGTAAAGTTCAGGAATGAGTTGTGTGATGAAGAGTTGTTGATTTGGTTTTGGTTGGCGCTTTAAAGTGTTTGTGTAAAGGTGGTCAAATATTCCTTGAGTGTTACTTGACTGAGGATTAAACAACTGGCAGGAGAGCCTCCTTATATATACAACAGTGAGGGAATTCAGCTCCAGGGCAGCCAGTAATGAGTGATTTTGGCTGGCCAGGGCTATTACATGAGGTATTTTAAGCTACATACAAATTTTAAATGAGTGAATGTGATTGGTCAGACATGTACAAGAGTTGAAGTGGTGATTCAAGCAGCTGAATGAATAATTCTGATTGGTCAGGTTCTGAGGTGTTTACAAGTGAGTGTGGTGGTGTAAGCTGAAGCTGTCATGCATGGAAAATACACTAATTTGGGCTGCAGGTATGATGTAATATGTAGAAGTGAAATGTAACAAGTGTAGATGTATGTAAATGAGTGTATATGTAAATGAGTGTGTACTGTACTGAGGGTGTCTGTGTAGCTTGAGGGTTGTAATTGGGTTTGGTGATATGTAATGATGGGTGAAATCCTTGTGATATGTTGTCCAGGGTTGGGTAAGAGTTGATCCATGTGTGTTCAAATGGCGCCTCCGTGGTGACCAAGGGTGGATTTATCCGTAGAGTCCAGTTCTTGAGCCGTATGGTGTGAATTCTGAGATTGATTGGGTGATAATATGAAGAAATATATATATAAGAAAAGAAAAGGAAAAAAACTTTGAATTTTCACATTTTTGACTACCACAGCCTCCCTCAACTTATTGTCTGTCCCCAGACATTTTACCAGGAAAAAATGGGAAGAAAATAGAAAAAGAGTTAATTTTTAAACATGAAATGAAGTGAAAAGGGTAGTGGGTATTTGGAGGAAAAAGCTGGAAAAAAATGAGTGTGGCTGGAAAAAGAGTGTGATAGCCTCCCCCAACTTTGCAGTGGAGCCAAGCTGGGGTAGCTGTATTTGTGATTTTTAAACTTAAACTTAATTTTTACAGCTGATTTAACAGGGTTTCCCCTGTGAATGTCAGCCTCAGGGTCCCTGTGTACCCCCCTTCTGACCAAAGTGCACAGGTGGGGGGGCATTTTTATTTATTTTTATTTTTATTTTATTTTATTTTTATTTTTTCTACATACAAATTTTGATTTTGCTGTGCGCTGTGCGCAGCTGCGCAGCATTGGAAGTCTGGATGACCGCTCCATTGATGTAGAGTAGCCTGGTTTACCTTGGTTTAGCTGCAAAGCCCCTTGGGAGGGGCCCAAGGGGTTTTCTGATTGTTTGGGGGTCGAGTTTTGATTCGGTCGCGCGAGGTTGAAGAGAAACTGCGGCCGCAGTCGAGAGCGCCGAGTCGCGGGTGCTTCGTCCTGTGTGCGCCATTCCGATCCGAGTTCACACATCCAACAGCCGACTTCAACTCTGATCAGTACCACCGACATCCTCGACCGACTCCGGCTTCCAATTTCTTCCGCGGTCTTCGATCGGATTTGCGATGCATCGATGACAGGTAAGTGACTTTGTTTCTTCTCAAATTTTCCATTAATGCTGAGTCCTGCCTTTCTATTGGTCAGGACTTGTCGTTTTACTTCGCTTTTCTTCCACCCGCCGAATTGAGCACGGTGATTGGCTAGGATCGGCATATTGCGGGGTGTAGCGCGTTGCAAGGTCGCTTTCAAGAATCAGGTGAGCTTTTTTTTCTTTTTTCTCCTCGGCTGTGCTGTGCACCGTCTAGATTAAAAAATAAGGCCTTGCCCCTTGTCATCAATCTATTTCACCCACTGATTCATCTATCTCCAATTTGACCTCAACCTCGCCGCGCGTTTTACAAGCATAAGGCCCGCCAATATCAATATCAACTACCGCCACCACCAAATCCCTCGACCGACTCCAGCTTCTTCTGGCGTTTTGGGGTGTGTTGCGTCGTGCAGTCGCTTCCTCAAGAGTCAGGTGAGTATTCACTTCCTTCAATCCTCGCTGTTGCTGTGTACTGTATATCTCTGATTTGACATTGGTTTTCTCATCGATCCAGTATGTAGGTCCTAGTAGTATTGATCCCGCCTCCAGAGGTCCCTGAGCCGGTTGAGGCCTTCCGAACCGAATCCCAGGTAAGCTTTTGGTCACACATGACACTTTTTTGATGATCCGCGTCAAGCTCCATCTCATAGCCACCAATTGGAATTGAATCATGACCTCCATTGTCTCTGTCTTCAACGCTTGATCAACCAGGAAGGCGCCAACACAAAATGGAGTCCTGAGGTTGTTTTCAAGGATCAGGTGAGTTCTGTTTTCTGCTTTCTTGTTTGACTTGTCCAGCTTGAAAATGTTGACTCTGATTCTTGGTCCGATCCGTTCTGTGTAAGAGAAGTCCCATCGCATGGTTGTCTGGAGGTAAGTTTGTCGCTTTCATGAGATCTGACACTGTGGTGAGGCTTGTTTAAGAAGTCTAAGCCATGTAAAAAAATCTAAAAAAAATTCAAAAATAGTCAACAATGTAAATGAAGCCCCCCTCCCCCAACTTAGCAGGTTGTCCTCAACCTTCAAGTCAGTAATCCAGTGAGCTGAGTGAGTGAGTAAGGTGAGCCGGAAAAAAGATAGTTGTGAGTAAGAGAAGATGTAAAAGGGAAGAGTAAGAGTAAGAATAAGGTAAAATAAGAAACTAGAAGGGTATGTAAATGTTGGAGGTAAGAAAAAGAATTAAGTTTTAAGGATGAGGAGTGAGATTTGACACATAAAGAATTCTTAAGTTAAGGAGGTTTTTTTTCATTTGTTTTTCGATTTTTATTCTTTTTGTAACAATGTAAGAAATGTGGCAGTGTTGAATTTGTGAGGTAAATAAGAGGTATATGGAAGGAGGGTGCTAGTAAAGAGTGATGTATAAAAGAATGTAAGTCCTCCCCCAACTTAGAAAAATCATCATCTGCCTGATTTTGAAAGAATTTTGAGCTAAATTTTTGTAATTTGATGTGTGTTGTGAACAGTTTAGACTCATGCCCAGGAGGTACGATTATTCTGATGCCACTGAGGAGTGTTCTTCTGAGTCGTCTTCCGAAGCATCTTCCTGGTCTGGATCCTCATTGTCTTGAATGTCATGAAAGTCACGTCCTCGTGGGTAAAACCGTTTGATGTGTGAGGCAGCATAAGCCCTTTTCAACTCCACTCCGTCCAGTTCTTCTAGAATATAAGAGCCTTTAGGAAGTTGTTTCTTGATGCGAAAAGGTCCATTCCAACGGTGAGCAAAAAGTTTCCCCCATTGGTCTTCCAGACTTTTATTGTAAGCCAGAACCAGTTCTCTGGGGTCCAGAGGATTTCTAAGTATTGCTGCCATTCGCCGGTCCCAGTATCTTACTGAAGATTCTCGGGTTTTTATTAGTTTTTCATGGGCCAGTGTTAAGATCTCGTCCCTCCGTTCCAGTTGTTTTGTTCGAGCCTCAAGCAGTTCTTCAGTTGTGTTCACTTCTGTCCAGTCAATTCCCAGATAGGTGTCCATCTCGATATCCACTGGTAAAACCACTTTCTTCCCGAAGACAATCTCATACGGTGAGTATCCAGTTGATCTTTTTGTTGAAATTCTGTCAGAAAAAAGTACTAATGGTATATATTCTCTCCATTTTCCGCCAGATTCGCCACACATCTTGATCAGTGTATCTTTGATTGGCCGGTGACCTTGTTCAATCATTCCATTCGCCTCGGGATAGTATGGTGTCGGTGGTCGCAGAGTGGCACCAATCTTTTCCACAGCTTCAATAAATTCACTCTTAAATTCTGGGCCATTGTCAGCAGTTACAGTCCTAATTGAACCATATCTGTAGACCCATTCTTCCAAAAGAAATTTACTGATATTAGCTGCAGATAATTTTACCAAAGGTGCTGCCTCTACCCATCCAGATAAGTCGTCACGCGCTACCAGCAGGCATTTATATCGTCCGGCCTTGATATGACAAACGTCCAATGCTACCCGTCCAAATAAACTGCTTTCGCCAGTCGGGTTTCGAATTTCCCTGGGCACTAGAGCATCCCTCTTTTGACAAGGTTCACCCATAACTTGACCTTCTTTTTCAGGCTGGGCCACCAAAATCAACAAAACAAGCGTTGATATGTTTCCTCAAGTTCCCTGTGGCCAAGATCCTTGTGGAACTTCCTTAATAATTGGCTTTGGTACGGTATATTGGAGATGACTAGTTGTGCCATGGGCGTGTGTCGTCGCATGAGTCGTCCCTCTTGAATAAAGAAATTGGCTGATTTTCTTCTTAATTTTTGAAAATCCTCTGGGTCCATTCCTTCTGGCTTCTTCAGGGTCCCAAGATATTCCTTAAGGTCCTTCCAAAACCCTGGTGCTTCCCATTCAATTAGCTTTTTTGATTGGGAGTTTATTGTGTACTGAAAGCACACTTTGATTACAGGTTTGTCTTCGTCAAAGTCGGCTGTGTCTTCATAGAATTCCTCCTCATCGTCGCTGATGGGTCGCCTTGATAAAGCATCTGGTAATGTGAAGGTTTTTCCGGGTTTATGGACCATGTCAAATGAGAAAAGCTGAATGAACGCCACCCATCTGGTCATTGGTGCATTTGGTAATGACGGAGAATTGATCATCTGAATTAAGGATTGTGCGTCTACTTGAAGCTCAAAGTGTTGGCCCCATAGAAGTGTTTGTAGTTTCTTCAGAATCCTGGATACCCCGCAGAGTTCAAGTTTAGGCTGAGAATATGATGATTCCACCGGTGAAAAAACTATGGATTCGTAGAGAACTGGTCGTGCCAATCCTGTTTCTAGTTCTTCCTGTGACAGTACGGCCCCGGCCGCAATAAAGCTAGAATCCACAGCCAAAATAATTAACCCTGCGTCCTTGGAGTAATCTAGCTTTTTTAAGGTGATATCTTCCCCAACTATTTGCTTTAGCTTCTGGAAGGCATTGTTGCATTCTTGGTTCCACTCCCATTCAGAGTCCTTCCTTGTGAGTCTTCTGAGAGGTGCGGCAATTTCAGAGAGGTTTTTGATGAAAATTCTGACGTAAACTAGTATTCCCATGAATCCCCGTAATTCCGTAAGTGAGTTTTGGGTTGGCCAGGTGGTGATCTTATTCTTTTTCTGAGCTGAAACCCGTCGTCCTTCTTTACAGACCACGTGACCTCCAATGTCCAGAGCTGGGACACAGCAAGCAAACTTTTTTCCGGAGATAGTGAGCCCAGCTTCTTCAATCCTGAATAATACCCGTTCTAATGTCTGAGCATATTCCCAGATGAACCGCCAAATTCCTGGGTTTTTGTCCAAGCTTTCGTTATTGTAATCTGAACTAGGTCCTTTGATTCCTCCATCATCAATGAATACCCCTACGTTGTCAGGTATTTCATCCTGGAGTATCCACATCATTTGCGCCTGATATACTGCTACCGAATTAGTGGCCCCCTGAGGTAAACATGTGAGTTGAAATCTTCCAAGAGGGGTATCAAAAGTGGTCAGTGGTCAGGATTCTTTTGCTAACTCTCGTTCGTCGTATCCTCCCATGATATCGCCTAATCCGTAGCAAGCACGTCCTACAAAAGCCTCTACAAATTCCTCAGTTGCCGGAGGAAGGCCTGCGTCCTTAATGGTAACTTTATTCATTTCTTGTAAGTCATGAACAATTCGTAGCTTTCCATCATGTTTTGCTACGCAGAATACTGGGCTTGAGTAACTTGATGTTGATTGTTTGTAAAGACCCGTCTGAATTCGTTCTCAAACTAGCTCCACATACTTGTTTTTTATTGCTGCTGGGATAGCAATAGGTTTCTTCTGCCAAGGTATGTGATCCACTACTGGTATAACATGGGGTAATCCATAGGAATGCTTCAGTAGTCCGCGTTCTTCCATGCTGAATGCTAAGGCCTTTTTGCGTAAAACAATCAGATGTTTGAATAGCTTGAGTTCTTCTTTCCAGAGCCATCCTTCCGGTCCAAAATTAACAACCTTTAACCGTGCTTCAGTAATTTTATTTATAGGTGCAAATTCCGGTGGATGTGGCGTAAGCGGAGTTTTATACGGATCTCGAGACAGAGGTGGTCGCTTTAGTGGTGGGTTTAGTAGTTGTGGAAGTGGTTGGTTAATTGGTCAAACTTTCTTCCCAACTGGTTTGTACTTTGTCATACACCACAAGTTCCCTTCCTTCCAATTCTGACATAAGTGCTTCTGGAATGTTCAGCCAAGTCCTATTCCTAACAGGTCGTGGATGTTCTTGCTCGGTTCCGTCCTCGTAACTGATTCCTTTATGATCTGTTTGGCAAGGTTTGATTGTATTACAGCTCCTTCGTATTGTGAACAGGTGAGTCTGCTGTGTTGTTCTTGTTCTTCTTCCCATCTTTTTGCGTGTTCGTGTTCCCTGTTACCTGTTTTACATAATCTGAAAATTGAGTCTGAAATATCAGTGAGTATTATCTTGAAAAAAAATTGCATCAGCTTAAAAATTGTTTTGGTTAGTTTTGTAGTTTCTTGTAAGATAATAAAAAGAAAAAATAGTAGCCAGTCAAAGAACACCGGCGCCCAGAATTCAACTCTCTTGACTAGCTTCAGTGAGTTATCCCTCAATTGGACGCCGGAATTCATAAAAAATGCTGAATAATGCTCTTTTTGAACATTCGATCCTCGTCGTTTGGCGGTATATTGTTGTCCTGTAACTTCACGCTATTGGTACTGAGGTCCTTCTTATTATTCCAGCCTCTTCCTTGGCCTGTTCTTGCTAATGGTACTGACACCCTTTGTCCCTTTGTTCCTTGAAAAGATAGAGTTTCACCGTTTTCGTGATATTCCAGAGTGCATCCGTAGTCAAATAAGAATGGTCGTCCCAAAATACAGTCCTGAGCCTTGGGTGAGACAAACAGATGTGCTGGTCCGGAGAATCTTCCAATTCCAATTGGGCAATTTTCAACTACTCCATTCAAGTCACATCTTGCTCCCCCAACTCCTTTCATTGGTATATCTACTTGTACTAGTTCC